GTAATTCCCTGCACAAGGTATCAGCTCAGACGTGTGGATGAAAACTGAAGGAACGCAAGTGTCTTATTCCAGGTTGTTGCACTTTATCTGTCGTTTTCTAATGATAACACGGTAGCAATTCACTCACCTGTACTACCGCGAACACATGAGTCACGCGCTCAATGTAGCCACGGGCCAACGCGACCCATCCTATTTTCACGAGTAAACGTAATACCACGTAACGCAAACAAGTGACTCGACTTTTTGCGATCCTACGGCGAGGTTTCTATTTGAGTAAAATTAAGAAATAATAAGTATGGCGTAGTTGATCTTCAAGACAAGCACGGACCGGCGGGGATTTACCCTGCGCATACATGCTGACATTGTAGCAGACGCGCGCGCTATACGTGCAGCGGCCTGGCGAGCGGCGACGACAGGGTAGCACAACCACAGCTCTTTAGCCAGATCGGTGGTTATCGCCTTCGAGCAAACGTAATATAACTTTTACGTGAACCCAGGACCCTGTCGGCTTTATACCAGAAAGCGACCATCTTCGCTGCGACGCTTGGCTTACAATCATTGCCTTTATCGAGTGATTGTAAAGTTGAGAAGCGTGCCGATAGAAATACTTTCTAGCGTCTCCTTTCTCTTCTCCTAGCGATGAATTGATGTATCGAAATCCGGTGCGCGACTTCGCATCACCCAAAATATAAACAAGACGGAAATCTTAAACTTAATTACTGTTGTTTGAATGAAAAAAACTCTGAATGTTGAATGATATCGTTGCGGTGATGGGGACAGGAGGCTACCGGTGTGTGTGTGTGTGTGTGTGTGTGTGTGTGTGTGTGTGTGTGTGTGTGTGTGTGTGTGTGTGTGTGTGCGCGTCTACGCGTACTATGTTAGCGTAACCTTGGTGTAGACGCTACGTGCTTCGTGTCGTTAAACGTCTTTTCTTCTGGAATAAAATGTAAACAAGTGCCGCAGAGCGACAGCGCTCAACTGACGTGTACTGTAGCCGGGTATTCTTCTGATAAACTCACTGGCAACCGAATAAAGTGCGCCCTCCCGCCACCGCGTTCGCGCTCAGAGCATATATCTAGGATACTACTAATATACAAATTTAAAATCTATGATAGGCTTTGCTATACCTACTGGTAGTACAGTAATAAAGATACACCTGTGTAACTTTAATGACTTCACTATATTAACATGTTATCATGGATATGCGTCGAGCGCGAGCGTAGTAGTGGTGGTGGTGAGGGGTGGGTAGTGGTGGAAGGGGGAGGGGGCTCTAATAGCAAAATTAGTTCAGTCCTTTGTTAACATTCAACAAATCCGTGTTTACCCCTCCTCTTAAGGGTCAAAAGGTTATCAGACACTTACTCTTTGCACTTCAGCGGAAAGCACATTTCATGGTCCTTTCAATAGTGATAAAAATGGTAGGTCAGCGCTAAAACAAAAAAGTTTTGCACTCGGTCCGTTAGACCATGTCCTCAGAAAATGTCTGATATCTGACCTTTCCCCCACTGCCCTTTGACCTGTGACCTCAAATTTCGCGCTGGTGATGGGTTTCCTCCACTGATCTCTATAATACTAGCTTAGTATAGTAGAGATCAGTGGTTTCCTCCCCATCACACTATACATCGAATATTAAGAGCATAGGTCAAGCCGTTGAGATTTGTGCCGCAATTCTGCATTTCCTCCTATACCTTAGGTTAAGGGGGAAATATTCACCCTCCATTGACACACCTTCACCTTTGACCCTTGACCCCTCTTTGACCATTCGCCCCCCCCGACGTCCAACGTCGAGCGGTTAAGATTTGTGCCCAACTGTTGACGGACGGACGGACGGACGCACGGGCGGACGGACAATCATGCGATTCTACATGCTGCATCTGATTTCGTCAGCTGAGCTAAAAACTCGACACAAGACTTGAATTCCCGTTCATATAAGGTTTGCGTATTTATTCATCAAAAAATCTTATTAACAGTCAATGTACGCGCAGACAATTTTTAATAATTAATACAAACCGAGGAGTGTAGCGATGTAGCACCAAATGTACAAGTTTAAATACAATGGATTGAATAACCAATTCATTAATCAATCAATTAATAAACGACACTCTATCACCTAAATGGGTACATTACCCTGTTCTAATACCATAATAATGCGAAACAAAGCCATGAGTTGAACTATACCGTGTATCATTCATTCGTGCCCGAACTAACCAAGCATGTAGCACAGCAATGACCATGCATAGACACAGCGCTGGCCTACATTACGTCATACTGATAGGAAATTAACGCGAATGTGACAGCGTTAACGAGAGACAGCACAATGTTAATAGCGCGGTGGGCAGGGTCGTTTAGACCACACAGTCAGACACATGGCCGGTGCTCCAGTCCTAGCAGAGCGTACCTATCGTACTACAAAATCTGAATGCCCGCGCGAGGAAAGGCGTACGCCTACACGCCCCTGCACACGCACGCAAGCACGTACGCACGCGCGCACACACGCACGCACGCACGCACGCACGCACACACACACACACGCGTGTGCAGACACGTGCACGCACACGCGCGCGTATGACCGAGACAGCGGGTGAGCCGCCAAACCTTTTACTCAGCATAATGCGTAACTTAGTTAACAAAACCTATCACTTAATCAAATAATGTTATCAGCAGCATCAAAATTTAATCATCATGCTCTAACGGCGTTAACCTAGTAATTTCTTCTGAACCCTCAACGCGCTCTCGAAGTTTGAGAGCTGCCCCCAGCTGTTTTACATGAAGGGCCCAAAAGTTAGAATTTGTTATTCTTTATACAGATCGGCAAGGCGCTACTGCTACTGTTCATATCTGAGTATCAAAGATGTGTTTTGCCCTCACCGATGCGTCAGGCTCTGCGGTGAAGGTAGAGGCTTTTCAGTATGGTTGACTAAAAAAACAACATGTAATTGTATTCCATTCCCTGTGACCGAATTTCCTTTCCTCAGGTTGTTTCAAATACGAATTATCCCGCAAAGCAGCACTATGTATATTTGATCAACGTTACGCGCATATATAAAATAAAACAATGATTAAACATTCGTTATTTATAAGATTAACCAAACTTAAGTCCTTCAATATAATACATGGAAGGTAAATGGCTATAAGTGTGCTTACTTCACCACGAAAGTTACAACACGTTTGTGTTGTAGTAACTATTAGTGCAATTGCTGTAATTCGGAACGCCTCTCCGAATACATGCCACCAATACGAAGACATGCACACAAATATATTAAATAAAATTCCATACAATCTTATTTTATAGTGAGCCAGGGACACATGGATCTGAAAATTAATCGCCCATTACGTAGAAATATGATAGCGATCTTGGATTCATCCCTGGTGAACTTGGCGTAAACCAACACAGGAAGGTTACAAGATTATACCTATTTATTCCGACGTGTTAAAATAAATCAATAAATAATCAAAATGAAATTCAACGCGTATGTAAAAGTTCACATAGTCGTAGCACTGTCGTTAGCAATAACAATAGTAAAAGTGCAAGCATTAGCAACGGTAGCAGCTTCAGCACTAGCGGCATCACTAGCAGCTTCGCGCATACACAGAGGGGGAATTTAAACACATTGTTACGTTACTACGAAATTAAACTATTGAAAGCACAGAAGATATTCCAACTTGCAATGTATGTTGCTCAATTTATCCTACACAGTATACAACTGCAATTAATTTTAGTACAGTAAAACTGACAAAAAGAGGCTCTGGATAGCGAACAGAAATACAAATCGTCGTGTAAAAAACAAATACGTCAATTTCAGTTGTTTCAATTTTTGACTTTCAAATCTAAGTGTGTAGTTTCTAGATTTTACAGGAACCAATGAAAATATAGTATCATGACAATCAGCCCATTTCATGAATGTTTCCGCTCCCCCATCCCGCTCACCCCACGCTCACTCAGAACGGTAGCGGCGATATTAAAATGCGGGGGGTGGGGTGTTGCCAGTAATATCGTAAACAGTTGTCGTTATAGGTTTAGACTCACCTAGACGTCAAAGCTTTCGCATATCAGGTGTTGTGCGAATGCTAAGACATTTTAGACTCATGGTGACACAATTGTTTACGTTTCTGGCGAGCGACCTCTGAACAATAGAACGCCAAGGTAGATACAACTGCAGTTGACCAAAAGCTAGCTAAAAATACGCGTAACCATAACAACAACCGGCGCCGCCATCATCATCATCATCAGCATCATCATCATCATCATCATCATCATCATCATCATCATCATCATCATCATCATCATCTTCAAACAGGACTTTACAATGGATATATCATTTATGTTCTGGGCTCATATAGCATCGAAATTCTAGCGGACATTGCGCATGCTTAGGCCGATTTCTGCAATCGTTGACAATGCAAAACATACATCGAATCGATCGAGGTTTGATAATGCAACAAGCAGCCCTTCTCGGTTCCTGACCAAGAATGACTAACGATGAATTAACACAGGATAGATAAAGGGCCGGTCACAGTTGTCACAACAAGAATCCTGAGTGTGTCACTTCTACAAGTCACACGGTCGAATCACGAGCATTTACCTAAAATATACTTTATCTGTTTGTATAAGAATTAATAACAGCAACAATTGAAGCACGCTCACGAACTGACTGACACATGCGCACACGCATATTTAACTTCCTCACGTTAGTTGACGTGATTATTGCGCGTAGACACACACACGCACGCATGCATGTACGGAAACATAATACACATGCACGTACACACGTACACACACACACACACACACACACACACACACGCATGCATGCACGGAAACATAATACACATGCACGTACACACGTACACACGTACACACGTACATACACACACACACACGCACACGCATTCATGTACGGAAAAATAATACACCCTACACACGTACACACACACACGCGCGCGCGCACACGCATGCACGGAAACACACACACACACGCGCGCACACGCATGCACGGAAACACACACACGCACGTAAGCACACATGCACGCACGCACGCACGCACGCACGCACGCACGCACGCACGCACGCACGCACGCACGCACACATACTTGCACAAATATTACGACCGGAGCAGTTGATATAATCATATAAAACATTAACCCGCGCGATCTAAACTATCCGCCCACCTGCCACGGTATAGGCGTATATATATATATAACTAGTACGAGCGATCACAGTATAAGGGAACGGTGCTAGCCAGTTTCCACGCGACTTAGCACTCGACTGGTCCCATTTCACGTTAAGGGCTTGTCGCGGGAGGTTTATGTGTGGGGCTAACAAGCTGTGCACGATCAACGTCTTCTTTACGACGCCGCCGCCGCGCGTGACTCATGCGACAAGACAACAGCGGCCGAACACGCCAGTTTATGGCCTACGCTGCTTCACATGACAGCCGCAATATATCGCCGCAACTATAGCGGTCAACGCTGGATGAGTCACCCCCTCGCTATTGGTTTCAGCAACCAGCTAGCGTCGTACGGTTTTGGTAACTAGACGAGCGAGGGCGTTTATATGACAACTACTATGAAACACTGCTGTAAGAGCAGTGATCGTTCTCCGCACAATCGGGTAAAGTATTGGTTCCAAAGTTGTGTCTATTGTCGTACACGTCCAAAGAGGCTGCTCCACACTCGACGAAAATATAGCCAACATGTTCACACGTCTCATCTTGCTTTGAGGCAAGTATTCAGAGATCCAGTCAATCAGACCACGAGCAGTACACGCACGTTTGTTCGACATGTATGAGATACGGCCAGACCTTAATAGATGCATCTCAATCTTCATAATGTATACTGTTCATACAGAAGCGTAGACTTTGATATAAGCATGCACATCCAACATCCATACAAACTCTCTCCCCACCCAAATTCCCGCACACGCAAGCCCGCACGTTCGCACGCACGCATGTACGCACACACAGATGCACATACACACACACGCACACACACACGCACACGCACACACACACACGCACGCACGCACGCACGCACGCACAAACGCACGCACGCACGCACAAACACACGCACACGCACGCACGCACACACACAGATGCACGTACACAACACATATAATCTATAACAATACTGTACATAATAAACGGCCGAATACAGTTCATATCTAAAGGAGAGTTGTCTAGCATCGTTAGTGTTCCGACGTCGTCTTGTCGGTGTCCTCTGGTTCATCATCAGGTGGTGCTTCCATGGCGTCGTAATCATCGCTGAAAATATCTATAAGAAGAAGTTTTTCTTAACGCCGATACATACGAAACGCCAGTCATATATAAATAGACCGTTTCCTTAACACCTGGCTTTTAGGGTCCCTTGGAATGTTTTCGATGTTTACTGCCCCACTGATGTCCCCGACAGGTTTGCGAGCGTTTGTTATGTGCGAGAGCTGGCAGCGAGCCAACTAGCCACCACAGTGCATGTACCGGTGGCAGCATGGCTTTTCAACCGCGTTAAGTTGTCTTCACAGAGCATCTAAAAGTTCTGGCAATATTGCCTGACTTAACAAAACCAATGCGATTTTGATGGGCAATAAGTGAGAAAGCTCTGATCATTCAGCACTGGCTCAGAGTGAAACGCTCTGTCACAATGAGATATTAATGAGGGATAACTATAGCAACAGCTAACTACACATCCGAATCAATGAAATATTTTACAGTGCTCACGCATCTAAGCTACAGAATGGAATCTGCTCCAACCACTTAAACACGGATTACATCGGCTATAAATGATGATCTCTACATACAAGCAATCATAAATCCAGCAAGAATAATGTTGTTTTTTCCCTTTTAATACAGCCTACCGATAGCAACTTAACAATATTAATTAAAACAATACAAAAACAAAGCTGTACAAACTTGATTGGCTGTTTAGTATTCAGCTATTCTGTAATTACCCATTTTATCATGAAAAATTATTGAAATACTTTCTCTGGAAAACATTTAGCTATCATTCAACATTCGCTTAATAACAGTTTACATTTAATATTAGCTATAGTCAGAAAAAAGAAGTTCAAATTGCTGTAGATGCAAGCTCGTGTTACATCCTAACCAATAGACACACGGAGCTCAATGTTCAAGAAATGTACCTTCTGCTCGTAGCAGAGTAGGCATATGATATATATTCAATCACCGTATCTGAAGTTTCGAGATTAGCTGATTGTACGAGAGTGCATGTGCATGTGAAAGCAACTGCTGCCACCTAGTGTGTGATAAAGAGTAGAACATAAGGAAGACGTGGGTGGGAAACACCATCTTATGTATAAAATTCCGCTGATGGCGGTATTTTTTATATTACTACGTGCCGCAGCATAATACTGGCCTTCAAATTATTTTGTCACGAAATAGTAACTATCTGTCTGTTGGGATCTGTATAAATTCTGTTGTCCTCTTTCACCGACACTCACCTGTCAAGGTGCTAAGAAACGATTGCATTGCAGTTATATGTGCATCAAGTCTGGTTAGATTATTTCCTTGCACTGCAACATCAGTTTGTAACTTGTTAAGAGCACTTTCAAATACCTGAAATAAACAAAATAACAGTTACTATACAATTTCTTGTGCATAAATGATGCGCCGGCCAACTTTTAAAAAATATGAAAGATACAACTTGTAATATTGGTATGCAAGACCACGTATAGTTTCAGTACTATAGAAATAGCTATCATGCACAAGTTATGATGCAGGATATAAAGAACTACAGGTTAAAATAATTAAAAAGTGAATTTAAATCTGTTTAAAATAAGCACAATATTTGAGAAATATTTATCACGACATTAAATGCTTGCTATGGGCTATGTATGAGTAACGAGTGTTTGTTCACATCGAACGGAATAGCAAAATAGGAAGTATAATGTAGCAATTTAATCATAAAAAGTGAACAGAATCACTTACATTTAGTGAAAAAGTGGACATAATTATTTTCACTTTCAGTATTTACGGTGACGTATTCACTTTAACAACAACTTAATGGTATATTCGAAATTAGATCCTTGGAGTAGATTAGGCGAAAAAAGTCCATATTTTCTGGCTCAAATCCATTATTGACACCAGTGGTTGGAATGACGGGGCAAACGGTTTACAGTTAGACCTCGATTATCCGAACGAGACGGGAGGGGAGTATTTTGTTCGAATAACTGATCTGATCGTAAATAATTATTAAACATTCACGGGAACTTGAGATCTTGTTCGGATAATTGATGTTCGAATAACCGAGGTTTGACTGTAGATAAATGAATGAATGAATGAATGAACGGAGAATAATGGATAGACTGATGGACCGACAGACAGGTATTAAACAAAAAATAAAACAGAACAGTTAGAAAAGTATTTCATCAAGGGAAAAACATTGCTTGCACAGCTGATTTTCTGATGACTACAAATGTCAGAATTCAAATAATTTTCTTCCGCTTGGCGTATAAATACAACAGTGAACGACTGCGCAAAACTCTCACACAAACGAAATAATGTTTGAGAATTACAAATATTACAAAATCATTCAAACTAATGCATTTCTCCTGCAAACAACAGAAAGCTTTTACAAAAATTCATCACTAAGCGTTTTAAATTCCCATTCATATTAGAAAATTACGGGCACCGCTCCCGTGTGGAGTTTAATCCTGTCTGATTCAGCTCTCTGGCATGTTATGAACAGTAACGATTTTCACATAACATTGTACATGATTAAATCATTAAATGTCAACGTTCTCAACCCGACTGACTTTATCACCATTGCTTGCACATAATAAATATTCGAATCTGTGTGACATTTTATGAGAGCTATCAGAACGTATGAACCATGTGACATTTTAAAATCCAATCAGAAGCTGAGGCTTGTTGTCAGAAACAACATTAGTCCTAATATTGAATTTTTCTCATAGACCCGTGACAGAAACATGGTAAAGTTACAAGTTTCACATACGCAGTGTATAGATGTCCGATATACAAGTCCAAGATCTATTCTTACAAGATAAAGAAAAGTTGGGACTATTGTTAAGACTAATTTTGTTTCTGGCAACGGGCCCTCGGAATACAACATGAGTAAACAACACGACGACTTTCATAAAACAGGAGCAACTCTATGATCATTCTCACAACCTTTGACATATATTCTAGATGCAAGATTGCCTATGTAATAGCACCTACATGTGTAATAGAGTAGTCAACAAGCACGAGAATGACCATCTACGACATACCGTGGAATTGAAAAATCTTCATCAAAGTGGCAACAGTGCACACAGGACATACTAACAACATTTTAGCAACATGGCTGCCGAGGAGTATTGCATCAATATGACCACATTTCTACACCCAGATGTGTAGAGTACGAGAAAAAGCAATCACCTACATGTTCTAGTACACAGAAGATAGTGACTCCCACCAACAATGCTTTGTAAATGACAGCACAGCACTTACCGCAAGCTGGTCAGATGTGTCTCTAGTCACGTTGGCAATGATCTCCTGCACAATTGGTTCTAACTGATCTCTCTTTAGCACACCACTGTTTGACATCTGCCAAGAGAAAGAAATCCTATATCCTACATACATACATACATACATACATACATACATACATACCAAGAGTGGATAATAGAGAATGTATGTGTATGAGGATATAGTATAGGAATATGTATGTATGTAATGTGTCTCTATTATCCACTCTTGATACATACATACATACATACATACATACATACATACATACGTACGTACACACACACACATGCTTGCATGCAGGCACAATAAAACTAAAACTATAAAATGATTCGTGTCGATCAGAATGTACGCATGAATGAATTGAGATGATGCAGCTGAAAATCACGTCTTTCACTGTTAACCTTTCCTACCTTCAGTTAACAACAAATAACTGCGTATATTAACATATAATATAGTAACAGTTGATACATAAATAGAAATAGCACAGAATTTAAACATTACAAAAATTTACTACTATTATAAACCAACTGTGACAACTTCTTAGGGAGCTTCTGGATAATGAAAAAAAATCCTAATGGCCAATTGCACAGTCATTCGTTTACTTAGCAGTACATGAGACATATAAGTGCAAAATAACCCAGCGGGACAGAGACGTGCAAGGCTTCCGTTACTGACAGCAAGCCACGTAACTGATGGCATATAATGCACTAATGCACGAAGAATCATGCTAATGTAACTGGCTCATAGATCAACAGTTAAGTGTTTTGCTCTAGATATATATACCTGTTGCTTAAATAAAGAAACCTCGTCTGTGATATTCCCAATGTCATCTAGCAACTGTAGGACGAATTCTGAATCCTGTATTCGAGGCCAAAGAAAATTCACAAAGGCACCAATACTGATTATTCACTTCACAGCACACAAATATTTGATAAAGCCTGCATTTATTCAACTCTAATAATATATTCAAGCAGCAAAAAACGAGCAGTCAGATATTATATTCTTTCTGCCTTTGAAAGTATCGATTTAAAATTACAAAATTACATTACTTCACAAAACCACCATCGACTTAAATCACATCTGGCTCAAAATTAAAAAAAGAGTACATACCTCCTTATGTTGAGCATCTGAATTATTGGCAGCTGCCATGAGAATGGAAATTTGAGGCTTTAATTCACCGATATCTGATGATAGTTGCTGAAGGTTCACCTGCCAAACAAAGCTAGAGAAATCAATGACTAGTTCATGCATGCATGCATTCAACAGCATACAATAACGAAAATTAACTACCAATGTGAAATTGTGAAGTAAAATCTCATGCGCTATTTTAGGGCTAATCAAATATATAGTAGACGTTTGATGACAAGTAACTTCTAAAAAAATATGCAGAAAGTATCACTATGTTTAAAGAAATGTTTATAAAATATATACTTCTAGATATAAAGATTAAAATTCACACGGATTCAGATAAATAAACAATTGTCCTAAATGCCAACTAATTAGGCTGTAATGCATGCAACTGGATAAATTTGCAATCAAATCAGCTCAGCCGATAAGTATTCTGCACATACAAGATGCAAGCAGACTATATACCCTTTTCATTGTTACTTTCCCAATACCGAAAGAAATATGGACCATGGGTGATACAGCAGTTGAACAACAGTGAGGATGGGAAACTTGTGCAAAAGATATCCATATTCATTTTCTAGAATTCAGTTTCATAATACCTTATTTAGACCGATGTCTCCTCCCATCTCCCCAATTTGTCCCCATAGTGTAGTATTCATACTCATTAGCTCTCTCTCAACGATTGACAAATTCTGCAAGTAAGAAAAATTTGATTGAAAGTTTTAACAGTTAGATAATAGATAAATATACGGAAGTAGTAAGTTGTATTGCTCATATTGTTATATGTGTCTATAAATATTACACAAACATATACATACACATGTGTGCATATATATATATATATCAGGAGCGTATAATGACAAAATTTGTCAATGACAAAAATTTGTCATTATACGCTCCTGATATATATTATATATATATATATAAATGGCTCACAAGCTACATCAATGCCTCGATCAGTATTGCAGTACATTTATACTGTATATTGCAGCATGAACTATAATTATGTTAAAATGTGGAAAGCACTGCACAGAATTACCAGATTTAACATCTCAGTTAATAACTCTAGCTCTTCTCCTGAATAGCCGCGGGGGAGAGCTGGTGTGAGTGGCTTGCTTTCACTATTGTAGTAACTGCTATTGAGCCTCTCTAATTGACTCTGCAAAAAGCAAATAAGTTTGTTTCAGGGGAATAAATAATGACAATTCCCACAGACAGGTAATGTTAAGCTAGCCTTCAGTGGACGATTTGGTCTTTGTTCTTTATCAAAACAATGCAAACTCTTATTTAAATATTATAGAGGTGCATGCATTGTAAGTGAAACAGACCTCGATTTCACCTACGTGTATATATTTATTCTGCCATATATGCTGCCAAACTGTCATCATGCTGCGTTTTGTTAAAGTGCACGCTGATTCCCCACTACGACGTCAGAAAGCTACGGCCGTGATTACTAATGGTACGTGAATGCTAAACTAATGCTACTGGAACAGAATCTCTCACGGTTATTAGGTTGAATCTGGTCTCAACATCCGACTTGAGCTGTGCAGAGTTCTTCACTGCATCTTGAAGTTCCATCAAATCCTCCTGTAAAGTCAGCACCTGACTTCCTACTAGGCCTATACCCTGAAAAACGTTACATACACTTCATAGAGGATTAGCCGTCTAGCAAGCCAATTTACCACAATTCGGTTGACAACAAAGTGCAGATGCTGGGTAAGTGGCAGACAGCGGGGAACAGAACTGAAGTGGAAGAATAACATTTGGTAAACTATTGTCATACGATTGCGAATTCTTAACGAGTTATATCAGAGGAGTGAGTATATAGTGCCTGCAGCTAAAAATCTGATTGGTTTTTGAACTCAGGTGACCTTGCAAACGTTGCTTAAAAAATGCAAAGATCTACTGTGTCTATATGATATAATTTCCATGCAATTTTGCCTAAAGTCTAACAATTTTACTAAAATGACTCCATCCTAGTAAAAAACGCCAGTAGAGTAAGTTAGTGATCCGTAAACATTGATAACCTTTTGAACACAACATTAGTTTGATGACTTTTAGTAAAATATTTACGATGTCACACGTTCTAGAAACGACACATATAACACTTTCCGCTTATTGTGAGCTTTAGGGAAAACACGACTTCAGTGCAACTTTTGTCAAAAAAATTCCAATTTCGCTGGAAAACAAAATATTGCACGTAATCACCTGTGAAGCAAAGCATCAAATTTGATTTTCAGAATCACAGAAAATTTTCAGCATCTCTGATATAATAATCAAGCCATTATGGTATTACCCTGCAACACATAACACACTCAGCACCGTGCCTTCAATAACCATAACTTGGTGCATTAAATCTCGAATCGTCTAAGTAGTAATCACAGGAGACATCAAAAGCGTTATTAGTTTATGGACATGTTGACATTAAGATTGCCATGTGGCGTATGCACGTAAACATCTCCTGTAATATGAGGAAACCCTTCAAATATCGTATTAGCCATATAACGTATAACACCTGCTCAAACCAAAATGCCAAAAATGCCAAAAATACCCAATACACATTCTTTTCGCTAATGATTAATTATCGAACTTTCATGCGTCCACGAATATAATATCTTTGCCGTGAAATAAATTTTTGTGTGGCCTACCTACCTTCGCACCATTGGGTTACCACATTAAAGGAGTAGGCCTATATATATACAGATTGCTCCTACAACTTCTTAAATGTATCACGAGACCAAGTGCACAGTGCAATGTTCCAGCAGTTGCTTTCATAATAAATCCTAGCACTCTGGCTGAGGTTTTGTGATGACACTACTGTATCAGCGTGACTAACTCACTGTGCAATTATGCAGTGTATAAACAGAATGAACGTGTTTGGCATGCTACATCACAACCAATCAACTGACAGGGATTAACATATAATACGATTCAGTTAACAAATAAAGCACCTACTTCTACCAAATCCTCCGGGTTGTCAACGAGGGATGAAAAGGCGCTTCTGGAGGTGATGTTTCGCTGGAGCTGACTCACAGTCACGTTCAACGCGTTGATCTGTTGCAACGTATAACCGAACCATTATTTGTACAAGGAGCAACATCTAGAATGCGCTGAAAAGACGAGTGCTTATACCACTGTCCGTTCATTAAAGAAATAAAGTGTTTCGCGAGCACTAGTGACGTCCATGGGTATTTTAGCAACAGTAATGATCGCATAATGATACGACCTGCAGGAGTAGAAATGAACTTTTGAACAAGAAGTCACACGGACTCCTTGCATATGTCAAATCAGGGAGTCCGACAGTAAATCAGGGAGTATTTGACTCCGGACTCGCGTTAATTTCGCACCCTGACCTGCATGTATGCCATCGTGAGGTTGTCGTGTAGCTCATCAAGGCCATTCGGTCCCATCGTGTAGACCTTCAAGTATTTCTCGAGAGCGCTGAGACGATCCTGCGACAGCTGCAGCTGCTCGGCGATGGATTCCGAACCACCGGCTAGGAACGAAATAACACGACACACTTACACATCAGCTGCACACACAACGTTCTCATGTCTGACATAGTGCACTCACATAATGGCACGGAGCAATAACTCATAGTTTTGTTTGCATATCTTCCATTACAAGTATAGAATGAAAGAATAGGTTATAATATAAAGATATTAAGCTAAGCTCATAACTTTGTGGAAATGATCAGCATAATACATTATGGGTGTCCGTCGTTAAAAAAAAAACGGTTTAGAAATGATACTGTGGCTAATTTTGAAACACTGCTGATGAGTCAGACCATTTGGCTTTTATCTTGCAGTTTCTGTCACAACTTCAAAACTCTAGAGCTACTCAAACTTCTGTTATTCGAGACTTTCTGAAGCTGTAGATAAAACGGACACTTCACACAAGCATCACTGTATACAACACATTTAGTGACTCAACACAAGTTTTTTCTCACAGCAGTTCGTGCATTTTGATAGAAGATGGATCTATCGCCTAAGCAACTTTTCAGCAACTTTTTTCAAGCAACTTTCTATGCTTTACACATATCGTTTTAATGTGTAGTTTTCAGTGTTTTCCAAGAGTAATAATTTTACTGCAATTCATGATAATGCATGAATGCGATGATGGCAGAGTAACAAATATATATTATTAAAATATATATATATATATATACAAGGTTAGAAATTAACTTTTGAACAAGGGAGCCCAACGGACTCCCTACCCTCAAAAAGAGGGAGTCCGCAGTCTGAAGTTCAAAAATATAGATATTAACAATATTTAACGCCTGTGCTTATTTTGAAGTTCATGCGGTTGTACGTCTGCCCAATTTTCTTTGGACATTTGCTGAAAAAATACGGCAATTCCGCGAGGCCATGCTCTGGAACGAACTAGTCAGTATAGCAGAATTTTTAGGGAGTCACACGGACTCCTGCATATATATGCAGACCTGCCAACCCCATCTGATGATCATCAGTAATAATTATTGGATTTTTCCGTAACAAATAGGCATTTGTCAGTAACACCTTTTTGTCAGTCTTATTACAGTATAATAATAATTTATCTCTCACGGTGATTGGCTGAAAATAGCCTTCAGTGCGGTACTACTATTCCTGGATCCGTGACGTCATTCAAAATGGCTGCACCCATAAACCAGACAGACGAGCGCATAACACAGCATAATTTACCATTTTCAGTGAGTACCGTTACGTTTTAAGAGCTATTAGTCTAAATCTACAGACACAGTAGTCATGTTACATGATAATAGTTGATTTTACACTGTGTTTATTTCTTTTTTTTGCATTAAAAAATATAAATTTCAGAGATTTCTTGCTGTCCGTAATTTTTTGAGGTCGTCCGTAACACCGTAATTTTGACTCGCGTCCGTAACAAATTACGGGCAATACGTAACAGTTGGCAGGTCTGTATATGTCAAATCAGGGAGTATTTGACTACGGACTCGCATTAATTTCGCACCCTAATATACCTATATATATATCCTTAGACAGCCCTGCTCATGTCAATGGCAAGACAATTCACTTTGCATAGTTAGAGCAAATGTAACTGAGATGGTAGTGAGATGGACTTTGAGCCATGCTAATTGAGTTTTCTGCATACATGTGCAGACATTATAAACAGAGCACTCACTCACTGTCTGCATGACTAGTATGCATTACGAGCCAAGAGTGCCTATTACGTAATGTTCAACCCCTTTTGAAATGCAAATAGCTTGGGTAGTTACTCTCCACTTTTATGATATAACAAATCACCAGATTTTCAAAAATCTCATAACTTTTGTAATAAGCATCTGACAACAGCTTCTCTACTGAAATCAATTTTAGTGCGAAAACGCTTGCACCATGTTACAAAATAATGCAGTTAGCTGATTTTAATAAATAAAATGCTGCAGAGTTTCATGAAAGATGGGGAACAATGTTTGATCCCCATCTTTCATCCTCCATCTTTCATGAAACTCTGCAGCATTTTATTTAGTAAAATCAGCTAACTGCATTATTTTGTAACATGGTGCAAGCGTTTTCACACTAAAATTTATTTCAGTAGAGAAGCTGTTGTTAGATGTTTATTACAAAAGTTATGAGATTTTTGAAAATCTGGTGATTTGTTTCCCAGGGTATTTGTTTCGCAGGGTAAAAATCGCAGGATAATGAGACCGCACACGCTCCGAATTCACCCACCAGGTGGGAACGAAAAAAGTCGCACAGGACAAACCATAGCATGTGCGCCAGGCTTTATACATAGGTGTCATGCAAAGAAACAGCGAAAAAAACACTTATTTTAAAATGGTTTAAACACCTGTATAAATTATTACTGTTTTTGTTTTTCTCGCGACAACATCGACAATGTGGGACCGCATACCCGGACTGCAGCGGCTCGCAAGGTCGTTCACTTGTCTGTAGAGCGTCAGCGTGACCCACGACAAGATGGCGAGTCCGACAATAAGCACTACGAACACGACGGCCTGCGTGCACCGCCATGACGAACACGACGAAGATCTGTAGTCGATGTTCGTCTGTCGACCCGACTTCAATTTCTTCCTGCGAGCAACAAAGCCAACAGAGAATTACTAGGTGTATATTTGTACGTCATCGGGCAAGAGTGGCGGTGCTTAGAAATAAAACACTGCCGCTGTGATGGAAGACCTACATTGCTGCCCAGTAAAAAATCTGCATGACGAATAAGTGAAATTATCCGACTGGTAAACAAATTTCAAAATGGGCCATGGTTTGTCTCATTGTGAGAATCGAAATTAGGGACTGGGGTTTACATAGCATTTATTCATTATCCCATACGAAAAAAATCTAAGTAATTTGGACTGAATTAAAATATTTCAAGACAGTTTACAAAATTTCTAAGAATTTAGAATTTAATAATCTAAAAAGATCAGTTCATTTGAAGAAGGTGCCATAACCACGTGCGAATTTAATTTGTCTTAGCTAAAATTTTCCCATTATAGCATTTATGGCTTGAAGCTACAGGGATTATAATCACGTGAGCTGGAGACACTCATCACATTGATCTTTCGATACACTGAACGTGAAAAAAGTAGCAAGCTTGAGAAAATTATGTACAAGTTTATTTGTAACGACTCCTACTCAGGGGACTGCAGCATAATCATTTTAAGATGAAATTTCAAGTCTAATATAGTAATAAATGACCACAGTGCAGACATGCTATAACAAAGGTCTTAAGGCGCTTTCACCTGTCCACACCATAGGAGCGTTTACGTGTTTTCCCAGCGTGTGTGTGAATTCCCAATTGGTTACGTAAATGAAAGTGTCAATGACACTATAGCTCACCTTGGGTGTGATAGGAGAGGGAGATAATATTTAAAATCGTGTAAGTGTATATATGTATGTTAGTATATTATGAATGTGTTCAAAAGGTTTTGTATTGGAATTTGGAAACGTGATTCACGGAAAATAGCATCTATGATCAAACGGGGCGACAAATGTGTAGAAATAAATGGGATTTGAACCTAAAGTTTTCTAGATAGCTAAACCTTATGGGATTCGAACGTAATGTTGATGACGTCATACATTATTATACTATTACTAGCCAATCAAATCTGGTGTACGGTAAAATAGCGGAAGTGGATACTCTGCCGTTAGATACAATAACGTAACCCAAACACAGGGGTCCCCCTTACCCCGTGTTTGGGTTACATTATTACCTCCGCGCAACGCAACGAAGTTGCAGGGGAGGTAATGTAATCGGTTGTGTGTGTGTGTGTGTGTGTGTGTGTGTGTGTGTGTGTGTGTGTGTCAGCCTAAAAATTACTTTTTTTTACGAGAGCTCTTTTTTGATTTTGTGTAAAAAAAAGAGCTCTCGTAATTTTTTTTACAGGAGCTATTTTAGGCTTGGCCAGTGCTACTTTTTCATAGCATAATTATGTAAAAATTTTCATAATTTTGATGCACTGACTCTAATATCATTCATCAGCATTCAGCACTCAGCACCAGTATCAGACTATCAGTGTTAAGAAATCGTCAACAAATTACATTCGATCAGATTTTTTTTATCTAATTTCACTCGACTAAGAAACCAATCAAATTCTTATTCAATTTCATTCACACAGACAGACATGCACTACACAGTACACATAGTCAGGTAACATGACAAAGACAGAAAATCAAGAATTATAATCATGGTAATGATGGTATGGTTATTTTCAAGTTTCTTTTTTTTACTTCATTTCTTTTCATCTTTTAACTTTCTTTTTACATCAACTGAGCAAGTTCAGAACTTCAGAGAGAGTTTTTAGTTACTTTAAGTATGTTAAAAAAAACTTGTACTGGAATCTCTAGGAATGCCGGGAGCTTCTGGGCAAGGTTTTACTTTCGCTTTTCTCCTCCCCAGTCCACGGTACCCCCATGCATAGATCAATGCTGCCGCACATCCGCAAAGTTACAAGTGCCTAAAATCTTTATAAGTATATATACAGTTTACATTGCTTCTAGATATCTAACTGAATAAAAATAGTCCACTTTCTACGTTAAGAAAAGTGACGAAGTCAGTTTACAGCTTTGATTACGTGCGTGTCAGGTGTCACTGGTCATGCCCTCACTCCCAACGATAACACCTGCGATATAAAAACTTATTGTTATGCGGTCATAAAAACACTGGCTGCACTACTGTCTACGTGCCCGCAATCGATTTTTTAGACTATCGCGAGTTTTTGTTCGTGTGGCGTTCGTGTGGCTAGTAGTATTTCATCAGAATATGAAGGACAATGGTATGACATCTGAAAGTCAAATGGTATGACAAATGGCTGAAACATACCTATAGCCCAGTCTACCTAGGTGTTACTTTAGACCGTTCGCTAACTTACAAGAATCACATCATCAAGACAAAGGCCAAAGTGGGTGCCAGAAACAGTATTCTAAAGAAGTTGGCCAATACTAAATGGGGAACAGACGCCGGGACAATCAGAACCACTGCTATCGCCCTGTGCTACTCTGCGGCTGAGTATGCGTGCCCTGTATGGAGTAGGTCGCCCCATGCTGCAAAAATTGACCCAGTTCTGAACATTGCCTGCAGAGCCATTTCTGGATGCTTGAGACCAACCAACGTAGATGACCTCTACCTGCTCTGTGGCATCGCTCCCCCACACGTTAGACGAATGGCTTCATCCCAAGTAGAGAAACTTAACCAAGAGAATGACCCCCGCCACCCCCTCTTCCAGCATGAAACAGTAAAGAAGAGACTAAAGTCCAGGCACAGTTTCATCCACGCGGTTCAACCCCTGGATGGCAACCTCCAAAACTACAGGATCGCCCAATGGTCAAAGCATCTTCAGGCAAGCCAACATAAGCTTTCACTCAGACCCCAGGAATCCCTCCCGCCCGGAGCCAACGAGGTATGGCCGACGTGGTTGTGCCTAAATCGCCTCAGGACAGGTTTTGGTCGATGTAGGGCACTCATGCAGAAATGGGGATACACTGAAGATGGTCCAATCGAATGCGACTGCGGGGAGGACCAGACTATGGGACATCTCCTGAAATGCCCCTTATTGCCAGAGCCATGTAGCCCTGGAGACCTTGAGGCTTTCAACCACCGTGCCAAGTCCTGTGTGCTGCAGTGGCTGGGCCGAGTGTAGTGTAGTGACCCGAGAAGAAGAAGAAGAATATGAAGGGAAAAAGTGCCGGTCAGGAGGACCGGGAGTTTCGTAGAGATGGTGGCCCGAGGAAAAACTTGGTGGGCTCGGGCCTCCAGTTCGAACGCTGCCGGCGGCACGGGAGCGATTTTTTCTCGTATCTTCCAAAATTTTCGCTCTCGTAATTGTTGTTACCAAAGCGCTTTGAAAGCTGACGGGAGCGAAATCGCTCGCCGCTCCCGTGTATCCCGTGTATTCCCCTGGACACACGGTACCGCTGCTGGTGTGTGTGTGTCCGCGAGCGGCGAGTCGGCAGCAGGCGAGTGAGTCAGCAGCAACCAGCGAGTGGCGAGTCAGCAGCCGCCACCAGCGAGCGGCGAGTCAGCAGCAGGCGAGTCAGTCAGCAGCAGCCAGCAGCGAGCGGCGAGCCAGCTCGTAACACATACATGTTACATGCTCGCGGAGGTATGCACTCTCCGTGAGTGCCCTCTGTCTAGTTGAATATTGTATCTAACTCTGCCGTATACGGTTAAATATCCAAGTTGCCTTTTCAATTTGTTGGCTATTGCAGAGTGAAGGGTGATATTATCATATAGGCCACGTAATAATTATCAGGTGTATATCGCATAGCCACACAAGTCTTACCTCCTATTTGGTTTCTTCTTTAGCAGTTTAGTTTCATTATGCGGTGCTTGTCGTAGATCCAGGTCATCTACACTTGACAAATCACTGATGTCGTCTAACAAGTTAAATACTTCCTTATGGTTATTCATCATTTCAATAGATACATAAACACGTTACTAAGAGAGGTACACGCCTACCAAAACCACAGGCATAAAAAGTAGCTATAGGGTTAGCCAAAGTATTGAGAATGCTAAGAGTAATACAACAACATAAACAAAACAGTTGAGTTTTCTGCACCGACAATTTTTACGAAGCAACGTTTACGTATTCCTACTGTGGCGCCATCGAATGGACGCTAATACAAGCTAAATGTGGCTGTTTAGTTTCTTTTGTATTTACAAGACGAATGCGACTATGCGAAAAAAATTCGAAATGTCGCGATAGTTTTATTTTACAAAACCTTTAATATATTCAAGTTGTTATATAAAGATGTTGTAGGTAGTTATAATGTCCGTGAAGCACAATCATGAATGGCATCAAGAGCGTATAAAGCCCGCCCCCCCCCCCCCCCCCGAGGTCGGAGGGACCGCATGCGCGTTCCCAAAATCTCCGGTAAAGGGGTATTTTTCGCGCGACAAAATCCGGCCCAAGAATTGTAAAAAAGGGGGTGTATTTGACTTTTCACCCGGAGATATCTTTAAAAAGGGGGTGTTTTTCCTCTCTCTCTTTCATCTTGAATATAATAGAAAACTTTATCAAATCCCGGGATCAAATTCCTGAAATTCCTGCTAGTTTTGAAAGCTCATTCAGGATTATTTAATTTTGAAATGTAAAAATATTGCCCCCTAGTTCCCCTCGATCACTGAACTCTACACTACGTAGTGTAGACTGGTTCGACAGTTCCACATGCTACACTAACGTCACTACGGTTGGAATGAGAGCTCACCTGAGATAGGGGGTACATTGGGCAGTGTTCCGGATTTAGGGGGGTCTCCAAGGCAGGAAAACCCCGCAAAAAGCCTGCGAAAGGGGGGTTTAGAAATTTTAGCAGTCCTGAGATAGGGGGGTGCTTTCAAAGGGAGGGAACGAGCATATGCGTACCCTAAATAACACTGAGTGGGGGGGCGGGGTATAAAGAACCTCCTTATTTACGCTTTGATGGCATGTATGCATAATCATGCGATCGCAAGGTTAGTTGAACGGTACGGGGGCAAATAGGAATTAAACAACATCTACACCCGAGACTCTATAGTAGTCACATCCTAATATTCGGATCTAGCCTACATTCATTTCTGGGGTATTGTCCGGTAGCTCAGCCTAGCTGCTACTGTTGTGAATGTGACCCGTGCGCGAAATTTTTTTTCCCACTTCAGTTCCGGACCCACCATAGATAGTGTTTTGTAATAAATTATTCTTATATATATGGTTGGATTATATCTAGTGTTAGGGTTCGCTTACGGGTTAGGGTTAGGGTTAGGGTTAGGGTTAGGGTTAGGGTTAGTGGTATTTATTTTACATTGTTGCTTCGATGAAGTCGAGTGAATGGAGTGCGCTGATTGGCTGTGGTCCGGAACTCAGCCACCGTGCATTGACATACCAGCAGTGAGCGGCAGTTAACGGGATATTTCCAAACCAGAACTGTGACGTGACAACATCAAACTGTGTGGGAACAGTTGTTTTCTGTACGTGGGAACACACCATTTTAATCACGTAGCTGGGAACCGAGAAATATGAGATGATTTTTTTGAGATTCGAGAATATAAAAGTCAATCGGAACGCTGGAAGGACGAAGTTTATTAGCGATTTTAATTAACTGGAAATTGCATGTTTGATTACGTGGGAAACTAAGAATAGAACACCCACACTATAGCTCCGTTTTCCCCACACAACTATCCAAAAGCTGGCAAAGAGCCAACAGACTTCGACGATTCTTCCGATTTCGTCTGATTTCGACTCTACAACCGTGGTGGTAGGCTTTTCTCTGCTGTTCACCAGATTCAGCTGAAGTAAAATCTTGTTGTACATGTCACATTTGGCCATAATAAACCAAAATAAAGAAATGAATTAATATAGCTTCCAGTGTATATCTCTATAATACATATTAGGTGAAAAAATTGGCATTACACAATTAGCATGGAACCAAATTATTGTGCTATAGGGCCTACCATTTTAGGGGTCCGTTTTAGTGTAGTTTAGTAAGATTTACATTATCTTACGCCAATAAGGGGTGAAATTTGCTACCGCTGAATACGCCATTTAGGATCCAATTTTGAGATGCTTTGACCAGCACGCGTACCAAGTAATATCCTGAGTGAACCCCTGGCAAGCCCTATACTGTTCAGTATGCTATACCCTCGCAAAGGCCATCTAACTGAGTCTGACGCACATGTATGAGCGTCATTTCCTTGCGTTATAGGCTTATTTAGGTTATTCTTATCTTACAATATATATCACGAACACGCAGATAGGCATGTTTGTGAAATATTGGTCTTGTTGTCGACTAGGTAGCTATATAAGCTATTCCATTGCGACCACAACACGGCTCCCTGCCGTGATCTGAGATTTGTGATGACGAGTACCTTACCTATGTTCACATACTATACATTGGTGGTTTAAACTCATTTTTGAAAAAAATGGACATAGGCAGTTTTGCAAATAAGCTGTTCTTCATATATAATATATATATAATATAATATATAATATATAGTATATATATATATATATATATATATATAAATTGTAGTCTGTAGATAAATTAAAGACAAGGCATCACTTTTAGCTGTTAATCCGAGTTTCACGCTTGCGCGATCATCAGACAGACTTTAATGAAGAATCATGAATAATTCATTTAAGAATTATATTCATTAAAGTCTGTCTGATAATCGCGCAAGCGTGAAACTCGGAGTAACAGCTAAAAGTGATGTCTTGTCTTTAATTTATCTACAGAATACAATATTTATTACGCTCTGCAACTTAACGCATCGAGCACTCTACCGACAACTGGTATATAGACTCAAGCATCCAGACTTATATAGATATATAGATATATACTACAGCCGTATTTCACTGCCCCCTCCCCCCCCCCCCCGCGCACCGACACACGATCCGCCAGTGCAGCTTGAACCTCGCGGTTCTAATAATTATGACTTCATTCGAGTTTATCTCGCGCGCTTATTAGCACGGCCGTGGTAAAGAAGGATATACGGACAGATCAATATCGCTGTATATACGCTTGATCGCAGTGAATTGCAGCCGCTGACTATTATATACTACGCTATCGATCACGCTCGCCGGACTCATAAATGCGAGAATTCCGATAAACGCAACAGTAGCAATTAGAACCCAGAATGCAGGTGCAATTCGCGATCATTCGGTTTCTCGCGAAAAAAGGACCGAACATACCGGCACGCCACGTCTCGCTCGTAGCTGCTCGCCGTGTGAAATCAACAGTGCTTATACAGCCATTGCGTAGCCGCGCTGCATGCAATACGATAATATTTACATGTTTAACGAAGGCGCACGATGGTTCGCATATATAGCAGCTGAACGTAGGCGAGAAAATATAGAATTGCGTCATAGCGCGGAAACGAAATTAGTCGATCAATAATTTTTACGATATTATGCTCTATCGCCTTCACGATCGTTTTTAATTAAATGCAATGCACGTTACGGACGCGCGACGCAATCATCTCGGCCAGCTTCACGATCTTCAACGACGATAAAGACGACGATGACGACATCGACCGTGACGAAATCAACGACGACGATGACGACATCGACCGTGACGAAATCAACGACGACGATGATGACGATGACTATGGCGACGATGACGATATCGCGGTATTTATCGTATATATATATACGTAATAGTTAACTGCTGCCACATGACGTATAATGACGACCAAGACGCGACGCGCCATAAATACGCGGTGTGCTCCCACGGGATCTACTTATACGTACTTCGCTATAAATAAAGTGTAGGCCTCCAACTTAACCTACGTTTCGTCATGCGAGAAGAGGCGAGTTGTCGCGCGGGCGTGACAGGGTTATTGCGCACGCATGCTGTCGGCGGCGCTGCGGCGCGCGCCGTGGTTGAACTGCGCACCTATCGTCATCATCGATCAACTAGTGCTCACAGAACAACCGGTGGTAGCTGGCAGTGTGCGTTCAGCAGAAGCAGCAGCAGCCAGCAACAGCAGCAGCATCATTAGCCGCGGTAGCAGCAGTAGCAGCAGCAGCAACAGCAACAACAGTATCAGCAGCAGCAGCAGCAGTGGTAGTAGCAGCAGTGGTAGTAGCAGCAGCAGCAGCAATAGCGACAGCAGCAGCAGCAGTAGCAGCAGCAGCAGAAGTAGCAGCAGCAGCAGCAGACGCGTGCGGACGAACGCACAAGCTTTGCGCTCTGTATCGATTCACTTTCCCCGGCGAACCCACGAACGAGCGCAGGAGGCCTAGGACTTCATATATGCTGTTCGAATGATGACACCCGTCGGGTATTAGACGCGAACATCGCATCTCTGGATATCGGGAGGGTATTCATGAAGGCGCTTGCATGACTGGAATTCGCGAGACAGCGGCTGAAGCAGCAGTTCCAGAGGAGATCGGCTCATAGCGCGCGGGTTTCTCGCAATTACTCGAGAATTATCGTCGGCTCCAGCTGCCGACAGATTACGGCTCTCCGTCCATCAGTCGCTGCAGACGCCGCAACGTTCGTTCGTCGCCCGCAGTCGTGTTGATGACGCGTTACGGTGAGGAGAGCCGCCAGTGCCGATATGCGCCGGCAGCACTCGACTCTCAATGACTGCTTTGACTGCCGGAGCGTCAGAAACTTGCGGCACTGTGCTAAGCCATCCTCGTTCATCCTCGAGCATCGTTGTTGCGTAATCATGCGCGTTTAGCAGTGCTGACCAGCGCGAAGGACGGCTTTCATCTATTTTTTTTAAATTTAATTATTCTTTTATTTATTGATTTATTGGTTTATTGGTTTATTAATTATTTATTTATACATCAAGAGCGTGACGCATCTCGTTTCAAGATGACGACGACGACGTGTCGCGGTGTCGCCAGGCGGACGATGGCGTCGTTGATGATGGTGCTCAGTCTTCTGCCGCTCTGCCTTTCACTGTAAGTACACGATACCGGCTACAGTCGTGCGGAGGACGTGTGTGTGTGTGTGTGTGTGTGTGTGTGTGTGTGTGCGCGCGCGTGTGTGTGTGTGTGTGTGTGTGTGTGTGTGTGTGTGTGTGTGCGTGCTGTGTGCGTGTGTGTGTGGGCGTGTGCTGGTGTGTGCGTCGCGTGTGTCCTCGCGGCCATGCCAATCACTGTATCGAGATGTTCTTCACGCGCGCTAGTAGATTTGTCCTTAGCAGAAAGCGCAGCGGTCGAATGAAATGTGCCGTGTGCATGTCACTCTATAGTTTGCCCGAGTTAAGGGACTATTAGTCTGTCTACGGCACTTACTTGTACACCCCGCACAACGTCGTGTAAGTACAGTACCGCACACACGACGTGCAACAAACAACACAGCATACGCAAATCGCACACACAGCACACCACACACACACCACACACCGACACAACACACACACACACACAACACACTACACAAGTCCCACACACACACACGCCGCAACACAACACACACACATACAAACACACACACGGGCGCGCGGCGCGCGACACACCACACACACACACACACACACAGCACACACACGCACACACGCACACACCGCACACACGCACATATCACAGCACACACAACAACACACACCACACACCACACAACACAGCACCCACTCTATATATATACATACATACATACATACATACGATAAATAAGTACCATACATACATACAATACCATACATACATACTACATACTACATACATACTCATTACATACATTACATACATACATACAATAACTAATACACCTACATACATACATACATACATACATACATACATACATACATACGTACGTACGTACGCTCATACTATCACAACATTACATACATACATACATACTAGTAGCAACATACATACATACATACATAGACATTACATACTACATACATACACAGCAGCACCACACGCACGACACGCACACAACACACGCACGCACGCACACGACACACGCACACACAGCGCACGCACAGAGTACGTACCACACACACCGCACACGTCACACCCAGTACACACGTACACACATACGACACATGCACACAGCACGCAAACACAACACATAACACACAACTAGCACATCTCACAGACACACACAAACACACACACACAACACACACACACACACACACACACACAGTACACCACACGACACTGTTGGAAAACAATCTCAATTAAGCTAAGTGAGCACTTGCGGTCGGAATAAAAGCAGAAAACTAGAAGCTAAATTTCAACATTGCTGTTACTTGCCAAGCATTTTCAGACATTAGCGGGTAAGTGAACATAATGGCCGAAACACCTTCTCGTGGCTGACAATCTAAGCGTCACTAAAGCAGCTAAGTGGTGTGTGTGTGGTGTGTGTGTGTGAGTGTGTTGTGCAGTCGCGGCACGTGCTGTGTGTGTGTGTGATGTGTGTGTGTGTGCGTGTCGGGCCAAGTGTTGCCGTTCGATTGTGTGGTTAGTATGTGCGTGAACCAAAAATGTGTGTGTGTGCTATGGTATGGGAAAAAACGTACAGAGTGTGGAGTGTGTGTGGTGTGTGTTGTGTGTGTGTGTGTGCGTGCGTGTTGTGTGGATGTGTGTAGTGTCCACGATGTGTGTGATGTGTGTGAACTGTGTGTCGACAGTGCGTGGGTGTGTGACAACGACCGGCGGTGTGGGATGGGTGGTGTGTGTGTGTGTGTGTGCAGTGTCCGTCGTGCATGTGTGGTGTATGTGTCGTGTTGTTGTGTGCATTTACTGTGTGGTGTGTGTGTGTGTGTGCTTGTGTGTGTGTGTGTCGTGTGCATGTGTTGTGTGTGTGGTTGTGTTGTCGTGTTGTGCTGTGTGTGTTGTGTGTGTGCGTGTTTGTGTAATCGCGGCGAAGCTGGGCTATGTAAAAATGAGCGAGCCAGCAATACGCAATGCATTACGAAGGTTGTTTGCGCTCTGATCAAGTAAATACGTCTCATGCAACGGCAAGTAGTGACCTTATAACTCACGACTTAGACGAGTGCGTTAACTGTAAACACGAAAACTTTAAGAGTTTGCGTTGGTGATCTGAAGCAGATTGAGTGAGATATGTTTCGATAGAGAAGACGTATATGATTTGCCACACGCTACTAACATGCGGCCTACATTACATGCCACATCCAGACCAAATTTTATTTCTTTCCTCTTTGCTTCAGATTAAAATAAACGAACGCATGGCAATCGAGGACTTGCTGTATATCCTTTATTTGATTTTATTTCGCCGTGAAAACACTATAGAGATATTGTTCACCCGTGTAAACCGCGTTTATATTGCCGTAAATCCGTATGCAATTACAGTCACATGCATGCGGAAAATCCAATGAGCGATATCGGACATTTTGAATGGAACGGTTAGTTGCTTCACTTTGCCCATCACTAGATAACGAGCATAAGTGGCCATATCGTCTCGTGATGCATACGCGACCTATGGATTTACTCTGGGCCCCCATTATCGGAATGGTTCTAAGCAAAACATGCTTCTAACAAGCCTTCCTGTGATGTATTTAAACGAGCGTAACCCAGTGTGAATATCATTAACCAAGATAAACATTTGAATATATAATATAATATAATCATATATAATATTGATAATATCATTAACAAGTAACAGATAACAATAGAAAGAAATGACTCACACACGTTAGCAAAGAATTTCATTAAAATAATAAGCAATAGTATAATCTCCAGGATACACTATTCCGATAGACAACAACAACAGTAGGCATCAGCCCCATCAGCAGCCACAACAACAACAACAACAACAACATACACCACCACTAACAACAACAACAACACCACCGACACCACCAACAACAACAACAACAACAATATTCTACTTGACTTTGTCCACATGACATTTTTGACTCCGGATTTTGTTTGTTTATTGTGAAAACTCACGTTTAAATTGATACTTTTAAAGCAGTGGAAGCTCGGTTAGTGCGGATAACCAGTAGATGAATATAGGACAAACAACAAGGATAGCTGGAAAATGAACTGCCTGCGAAATATTGAAGCAACTCGCTGTACAAAGCTCTCGGCGCGTCTAGTTGATCTGCGCAGTGGTCGCTCAGGTTTATTCGTGACATTTCGGCCAGATTATAGACCCGATGGTGTTGATGTGACTTATGGCTAAATATTGTGTAAGATTATTAGAATCTAGACAAATTATAACATTATCATAATTGATTTGTGCGCGCGCGCGCGGCGGCAGGCGTGTGTGTTGTGTGTGTGTGTGTGTGTGTGTGTGTCTCGGGCGTGCTGTGTGTGTGTGTGTGTGTGTGTGTGTGTGTGTGTGTGTGTGTGTGTGTGTGTGTGTGTGTGTGTGTGTGTGTGTGTATGTGTGTGTGTGCGTGCGTGTGTGTGTGTATGTGTGTGTGCGTGCGTGTGTGTGTATGTGTGCGTGCGTGCGTGCGTACGTGGGTGCGTGCGCGCGCGCGTGTGTGTAATTAGATTTCGGTTACGTTGAAAGCACACGAACAGGCTAGCCACAAGTTGCCTTCTCGCTTTTAACTACGTGGCACTCCGGCAACGTGAAACAGTCGTAAAACCTGGTCAGGCTAACGAACAGTCTAGCCACTCACATGCCTGAAGACATGAAGTGAAGTGCGCACCTAGTTTCAGTCACTTTTGAATCATTGCGGACATTTACGGATTTTACGGCGGTTTTACTCGCATTTCTGATTTCATTGGTTCAGTTTTTGAAGACCGAATTGAATTGAATTTACCGAACTATTTCTTCGAATATCCAGCGTTCAATGTATCTCGATTCCATAATTCAATTGTCTGAAACCGCCATAGTGAGACAATTAAATCAGATATACCCGCAGCAATCGAAAATCTCCGCAGGATTTATTATTCATTTTCCAATCGAACATGGACGCAATTTATCACCAGTCACAATCCGACTCGACGAAACGTAATTGAAAATGGTGCCGTAGAAGGAAGCGGGATTAAGTGGAAGTCGTCGGCATTTTACGTTGGCTGCTGAAGCGACATTCAGAGCTGTGCTACGGTCGCGACGAGCACCTATTAGTGTAATAGCACGTACGTAATTCAGCGGATTATTGGCGAGATTATCGCTAAGCGAATTCATAGTCGATTTCGACTCGCGCTCTCACTACTACATCTAAGGATGGCTGGATATATGGATAATAGATTTATTGCAAAACTAGTGTTAACAACGTTACAATTAAAATAAATTTTGCAAACAAGATATCATCAGGCAGTATAAAACTAAAATTTATGATATTTACAATAATATATGGTAAGACATAGATATCACTTAAAATGTTGGTTCGTAAAATTATATCACTACAACTAAAAACCATCTTTAGAATATATACTAAATTTAAAATAACGTGATCCTTGGTCAAAAATAGTTACAATTAAAATGCGACACAATGATAGAATCAAACATATCACATAACCGAAAGTTGACCAGAGAGTTATTTCAAAGAGACCAAAATGTTTATAAAGGGGCGCAAGCAAAAGGCTAGCCGGAGTTTACTAGAATTCCGTGTTATGCGGTTAGACATGCACATTTATTGCTGAAGGAGGGCAAATATCCTGTAATCGTTAAAAACTTTTGAGCTAATAAGCAACATTTTCACAAAGCTGCTCGCGACGAAACGCAAGTCTTTGGATCTGAGGCTGAGATAGTACCTCATCGTACATGTCGTACTTGTTTCCAATTATTATAACCTATAATTATTCTCATCACAACACAATCTACACACGGATGTCGGCGCTCGCTTCACGAAATCAGATGAAGCTCCGATTGCGCCAAAATCTTTATCTGATCATGTAATCGGCACGCAGCGTGCGAGCGTAGGCGGCAGCGGGGTTGATTCACATGTGAGGGAGAATAATCAGAATATAATGACGTGCGACCGCTGATATCGTGCGTGCCAGATCGAACGTTGCCATGT